TCATACAATACTAAAAAACAAACAATCCTTATCATAAATTCTTTTTCAAAGCAAATCCCTTGTAGCCTCTTTAAAAAATGTATGAAGAAGAAATATCTCACTTTTCTCATTCTCCAACACTTTTAGAGAAGAGTTCACACTTAATCTCACCACAAAACTCTAAATTATAAGAACAATGGACTCTAAATGGTTGAGGAATGAAAAATAGAAGAATGTGTGATGCGTAGAAGGTTGAATTAGGGCGATGAGATGCAGGAAGAGTCAATTTTCTGATCAATTTGTTAGAAAATTCATGTTTCAACTTTATACACAAATTTCAAAAGAAAATTACATAATAGCCAAGATCTTTTAAATTCATGATTTTTTACATATGTAAAATAAAGTGACGCATACATGTATTCATGATGAACAAATTTGATCTTGAAGAGATGGAGTTTCTCTCTCTAATCACTTAAAACTTTCTGTACTTTCTATGGAGGGAAATATACGGGTGTGTTAGGTAGAGAGAGGACTCATTCTCAAACTCATGCTCTATTCAACCACCATCCATCAAGAGGGTTACTAACCAATAGAATTTATGATAATTTAATAAATTAATTGATTTTATTAATAAAATCAATGACATAAGTTAGTAACATTTATTTATTTTAGGGGTTATATGAGTTACAAAAATAAATATCATAAGTTATCATAAATTATGACATAAGTTATGAGTTAAGAAAATAACTAACTTAAGTTATCAAAATAAATATCATAAGTTGTCATAATTTATGACATAAGTTATGAGTTAAGAAAATTAATGACTTAAGTTATCGAAATAAATATCATAAGTTATCATAATTTATGACATAAGTTATGAGTTAAGAAAATTAATGACTTAAGTTATCAAAATAAATATCATAAGTTGTCATAATTTATGACATAAGTTATGAGTTATGAAAATTAATAACTTAAGTTATCAAAAATAAATCTCATAAGTTATTAAAATAAATGTGAGTCATAAATAAAAATATAACATTCTCCCACTTGGCTCACTTAATTTTAATAGTGCATTACATACTGCAAGATAAATCCCTTCTTTATATGGTTAAATCATAAATTATTCAATAAGTATGAAATTAATATGAATCATGATGGTTGTGCATCAATTTATCGACACAGTCCCTTCCATGTATTACAATATCAATTACATACTTAGCATAATGAGAATTAACATCATGATCTCATAATGTCTATTAAAAGACAAATCTTGTTGAAACATCATGCAACATAAAGTGTACACTTACGATAAAAACAAGATTTATATATATCATAAATAAGAAAAATTGGGCCCAAAATGTCAAAATATAAAGAGCATAAAACTAATAAAGGGTTTTGGTAATGTCCATTCTCACGTCATGTTTGTTAAATGTCTTCAGTGACAACTCTTTTGTCAAAGGATCTGCAATCATGAGATCGGTGCTAATGTGCTCAATTGACACCCTATGTTTCTGAACTTCTTCCT